GGGCACTCACCCCTGGATAAATCAGCTTTTTGTGAGGCAGGGAATTCACCCAGGAAATCCCAGGAAATCCCAAAGCCCGGATCCCAGGACGAGGCCGGTGGGTGAATTCTGGTTTTATTGAAGTAACAAAAGCAGGGGGGGCACAGGGGGGGAAATGCAGCAGGAGGCGGCTGAGAACTCCAGCAACTGCTCACGGGGGTCTGGCATTTTCATAGAAAACAGGGAAAACACCAAAAAACCCCAAAAAAAACAAAAATAAAAAAAACCCACAAAAAACCCCCGCAAAAAAACAACCAAAAACCAAACAAAAAAAAACCAACAAAACAAAAAAAGGAAAAAAAGACAAAAAAAAACCCCAAAGCCCCCCACAAAAACCACAATAAAAACAAACAAAAAATAAAACAAAAAAACCCAACAAAACAAAAAAAGGAAAAAAAGACAAAAAAAAACCCCAAAGCCCCCCACAAAAACCACAATAAAAACAAACAAAAAATAAAACAAAAAAACCCAACAAAACAAAAAAAGGAAAAAAAGACAAAAAAAAACCCCAAAGCCCCCCACAAAAACCACAATAAAAACAAACAAAAAATAAAACAAAAAAACCCAACAAAACAAAAAAAGGAAAAAAAGACAAAAAAAAACCCCAAAGCCCCCCACAAAAACCACAATAAAAACAAACAAAAAATAAAACAAAAAAACCCAACAAAACAAAAAAAGGAAAAAAAGACAAAAAAAAACCCCAAAGCCCCCCACAAAAACCACAATAAAAACAAACAAAAAATAAAACAAAAAAACCCAACAAAACAAAAAAAGGAAAAAAAGACAAAAAAAAACCCCAAAGCCCACCCAAAAAACCAAAATAAAAACAAACAAAAAATAAAACAAAAAAACCCAACAAAAACCAAAAAAATACCCCCAACCCCCCCAAAAAACCCCAAAATAACCCAACAACAAAATCCCCCCAAAACAACCTCCCAAAGAAACCCAAAAAACCCCAAACCAAAAAATAAAAAACCCTAGCAACAAATAATAATAAATTAAAAAAAAAAATTCCCCAAACCAAACAAAAAAAAAACATAAAAAAGAAAACAAAAAAACCCCAAAACCTCACAAAAAAACCCCAAATAAAAAGAAACCCAACAAAATAATCCAAAAACAAGAAGCAGGTCCCGTTCAAAAGTCCAGCTGGGTTAGAAATACCAAATAAAATAAAATAAAATAAAATAAAATAAAATAATAACAATGCCAGAGTCCCAAATCCCCCCTCAGGCTGGAGCTCGGGAATTCACAGCTTTTGGTGCCCCGGGGAGAGGTGGGCTCTGCCCAAAGCTCCTGGGTCCTGAAGGTTATTTTTAAATCAAATTCACCTCGGGGATGAGGCGGATTTGGTGGGAAATTCTTGGGGAATTCAGGGGAGAGGAAGGGAAAAAAATGAATTTTGATTTTCCTCCTGGGGCAGCTCGAAGGGAGGAACGCCAAAAAAAATTAAAAACCCTAAAAAAATAATTTAAAAAAATTTAAAAAAATAAAAAGCAGTGGGATTGCTTTTCCTGGAAAAAAAATTGATTTTTTTTAAAATTTTTTTAATTTTGGGTGTGGGTGAGGTCAGGTATTGCACAGGTGAAATCCCCCAGCACTTCCTGCTCTGCTGAAGGGAAATTCTGGGGAGAGGGAGGGAAAAAACTGAATTTTGATTTTCCCCCTGGGGCAGCTCAAAGGGAGGAATGCCCCAAAAAAATTAAAAACCCTAAAAAAAATAATTTTAAAAAAATTTAAAATTTAAAAAGCAGTGGGATTGCTTTTCCTGGAAAAAAAATTTGATTTGTTTTTTATTTTTGGGTGTGGGTGAGGTCAGGTATTGCACAAGGAATTCAGGGAAGTGAGGCAAGGCCAGAGTGCTCTGCTCTCCTCAGGCACAAACAGCCTGGCATTTCAAAAAAAAAAATAGAAATATTTCAGAATCGAGGCTAAGCTCCCAGGTCCTGGTGGTTTGGGATTAAAAAAAATAATAAAATCTGAATTTTAGAAGGCAGAAATGGATAATTAAAAAAAAAAATAAATATTTGAGAATAGAAGCTGATTTTCCAAAACATAAAATCTGAATTTTAGAAGGCAAAGCTGGATAATTTTTAAAAAATACATAAATATTTGAGAATTGAGGCTGCCCCTAGATTTGGGGTTTAAAGCCCAAATCCTAAAGAAAACCCTTTAAAGGGTTTTTAGTGGTGTTTGTAGTGCTCCTTCCCAGCACCAAGTGGGGTTTAGGGCCTTTAGCTGCCACTGAATTTGGGGTTTAAAGGTGAAATCCTAAAGAAAATCCTTTAAAAGTTTTCTGAGGAGTTTCTGGTGCTCCTTCCCAGCACCAAGTGGGATTTAGGGCCTTTAGCTGCCACTGAATTTGGGGTTTAAAGGTGAAATCCTAAAGAAAATAATTTTAAGGGTTTTTAGTGGTGTTTGTGGTGCTCCTTTCCAGCAGGCAGGTGGGATTTAGGACCTTTAGCTGCCACTGAATTTGGGGTTTAGAGGCAAAATCCTAAAGAAAACCCTTTAAAGGTTTCCTCATGCTCCTTTCCAGCAGGCAGGTGGGATTTAGGACCTCTAGCTGCCCCCAAATTTGGGGTTTAAAGCCCAAATCCCAAAGAAAATTATTTTAAGAGTTTTTTAGTGGAGTTTGAAAAGCTCCTTCCCAGCATCAAGGTGGGTTTAGGGCCTTTAGCTGCCCCTGAATTTGGGGTTTAAAGCCCAAATCCCAAAATCCACCTGGGCAGAGCCCCCCGAACACAAAAGGGGCAGAGAGCAGAATCTGAAACCCTACAGAAAGTTTTGTACCAGAGATGGGACCCAAACCCCTCCCCAAGGGGGGCAGGGAGTGCTGGGGGGTTCAAAAGCAACCTCAGCACCCCAAAAGCACCTGAACAACCCCAAAAAATCCAGACTGGAGGAGAAAAGGCGGCAAAAAGGGGGAGCCACAGCCCAACCTCTGCAGGACAAGGACAGGGGGGGCACGGGGGGGACACAGGGGGGACACGGGGGGGGCTGAGCCCCTGGGAGCAGCAAGGTTTTGGAATTCCCAGCAGGTCCGGGGTGGTGACAGCAGGGATGTCCCCTCAGTGCCACCAGGGCCACCCTGGGGACACTGCCAGCAGCTCCACATGCCAGGCAACGAGAGGGGCTGGGATAAGGCAGGGCAGAGCTGCAGCACGTCCAGGAGGGTGACCCCAACGTCCCCAAGGTCACCCAGCCCCAGGGTGACACCAAATCCAGGCCCCAGGGGGTGGTGACAGCAGCAATGTCCCCTCAGTGCCACCCTGGGGACACTGCCAGCTGCTCCATGTGCCAGGTGAGCCCATCCAGAGAGGGGCTGGGATAAGGCAGCACGTCCAGGAGGGTGACCCCAATGTCCCCAAGGCCACCCAGCCCCAGGGTGACACCAAATCCAGGCCCCACAGAGGTCGGGGCAGCAGCTCTGCCACAGCTGGGGCTGCAGCAGCAAGGTGACAGCAGGGAGGTGACAAGGTGACACCACAGCCACGCTGGCTTCACCCCCTCATCCCCACTCCAGGGGAGCAGAGCCAGCCCCAAAGTCGTCCTCCAATGCTACATCAGGTAGATAATAATTAAAAACAATAATAATAATTCAAAAAAAAAAGAGAAACTCACAAGCTTGCAACAGCTTTAGAAAAGGCACCTGGGGCGTCGCCTCGGCTCAGGGCGGCGCCCAACATTTTAATTTTGGATTTTCTGCAAGTTTTTGGTTTTTTTTAAAAAAAATATAAATAGCTCTTCATCTTAAAAATAGATCCTCAGCTCGAGGTATTACAGCAGCCTGTGTCTTGGCAGTGTAAGGACAAGGAGGAGATTCATTTTCTTTTCCCGGGGTTTGTTTTTTTTTTTCTTTTTTTTCCCATTTTGTTTGGTTTTTTTCCTTGTTTTTTCAACTGGAGACAGCCATGATGCAGTTCTTGGAAGGGCTGCTCCGGCCCAGCATCACCTGCTCCTTGCAGCTGAGCAGCCCCGCGCAGGAATTGGGGCTCCTGGCTGCCTGGTAGAGCACGCAGATGGAGCCGTCCTCGCCGATGCGGTAGCACACCTCGAAGGGATCCACCCAGAGCGCCAGCTCCGGGGGCAGCAGGCGCAGCAGCTGCGGCAGCCCCAGCCCCACCAGGCCCCCCGCGCGCCCGATCAGGGGGTCCATGCGCTGGTTGATGCGCAGGCAGCGGTAGCCGGAGCCCTTGGAGGGTTTGTCGGGGAACCAGTGGTGTCTGTAGTGCTCTGGGGGGGAAAAACAGTGAGAAAGGGGGTTAGGGACATGAAATTTGGGGTTTCATGGTGAAATCCTAAAGAAAACCCGTTTGAAAGGGTTATCGGGGAACCAGGGGTGTCTGTAGTGCTCTGGGGGGGAAAGAACAGTGAGAAAGGGGGTTAGGGATTTTAGGTGACACTCAATTTGGGGTTTAATGGTGAAATCCTAAAGAAAACCCTTTTAAAGGGGTTATCGGGGAACCAGGGGTGTCTGTAGTGCTCTGGGGGGAAAGAACAGTGAGAAAGGGGGTTAGGGACATGAAATTTGGGGTTTAATGGTGAAATCCTGAAGAAAACCCGTTTGAAAGGGTTATCGGGGAACCAGGGGTGTCTGTAGTGCTCTGGGGGGGAAAAACAGTGAGAAAGGGGGTTAGGGACATGAAATTTGGGGTTTCATGGTGAAATCCTAAAGAAAACCCTTTTTTTCAGGGGTGTCTGTAGTGCTCTGGGGGGGAAAGAACAGTGAGAAAGGGGGTTAGGGACATGAAATTTGGGGTTTCATGGTGAAATCCTAAAAAAACCCCTTTTTTTCAGGGGTGTCTGTAGTGCTCTGGGGGGGAAAGAACAGTGTGTAAGGGGGCTAGGGACATGAAATTTGGGGTTTCATGGTGAAATCCTAAAAAAACCCCTTTTTTTCAGGGGTGTCTGTAGTGCTCTGGGGGGGAAAGAACAGTGTGTAAGGGGGCTAGGGACATGAAATTTGGGGTTTCATGGTGAAATCCTAAAGAAAACCCTTTTTTTCAGGGGTGTCTGTAGGGCTCTGGGGGGGAAAGAACAGTGAGAAAGGGGTTTAGGAACCTTAGCTCCCATTAAATTTGGGGTTTCATGGTGAAATCCTAAAGAAAACCCGTTTGAAAGGGTTATCGGGGAACCAGGGGTGTCTGTAGTGCTCTGGGGGGGAAAGAACAGTGAGAAAGGGGTTTAGGGATTTTAGCTCCCATTAAATTTGGGGTTTAATGGTGAAATCCTAAAGAAAACCCATTTGGAAGGGTTATCAGGGAACCAGGGGTGTCTGTAGTGCTCTGGGGGGGGAAAGAGATGTCAGAAAGGGGTTTAGGGACTTTAGGTGACATTAAATTCAGGGTTTAAAGGTGAAATCCTAAAGAACACCCTTTGGAGGGTCTCTCAGTGGTGTCTGTAATGCTCCTTCCCCACAGCCAGGTGGGGTTCAGTGTCTTTAGCTCCAAATGACTTTGGGGTTTAAAGGTGAAATCCTAAAGAACACCCTTTGGAGGGTTTCTCAGAGGAGTCTGTAATGCTCCTTCCCCACAGCCAGGTGGGGTTCAGTGTCTTTAGCTCCAAATGACTTCAGGGTTTAAAGGTGAAATCCTAAAGAACACCCTTTTAAGGGTTTCTCAGAGGTGTCTGTAGTGCTCCTTCCCCGCAGGCAGGTGGGGTTTAGGACCTTTAGCTGCCACTAAATTCAGGGTTTAAAGGCCAAATCCCAAAGAAAACCCTTTAAAGGGTTTCTCAGGGAAGCAGTGGTGTCTGTAGTGCTCCTTCCCCACAGGCAGGTGGGGTTTAGGGCCTCCATCTCCCCCTAAATTCGGTGTTTACAAACCAAACCCCAACAAACAGCCGGGCAGAGCCTCCCCGAGCTCCGGGAGCACACACGGAACCAGGAACGAAACCGTGCCCAACCCCAACCCCCTCCCGGGGGGGCACGGCAGGGGCAGCGCTGCCAGCCCACCCCAAAGGCGGCTCCTGCACCCCAAAAAACCCCGGCAGGACCACGCCGGGGGCTGCGGGGGCAGATAGGGCACCCCAAAGCTCCCCGAGCCCCCTTATCAGAGCCCGGCCACCGCTCCCTGCCCCGATAACGGCCCCGGGCGGGGACACCGCGGGGACAGCTGTGGGGACACCGGCAGGGACCCCCGGGGACACCCCCGGGAAGGGACCCCGAACCCCCGGATCCCGGCGGGCACGGCCGGGGGGACACCGGGGACAGCCGTGGGGTCTGCACAGCCCCGGGACACAAAGGGACAAAGGGACAGGCGGCACCGGGAATGGCCCCGAGGGGACAGCCGGTCCTGGAAGGGACACGGAGGGGACAGCCGGTCCCGGAGGGGACCAAGGAGGGACACAGGAGGCAGCCCGGGAGGGACAGCAGGTCCTGGAAGGGACACGGGGCCACTCGAGAGGGGACAGCAGGTCCCGGAGGGGACACGGGGGGCACCAAGGAGGGGACAGCACGTCCCGGAATCGGGACAGGAGGGACAGCAGGTCCTCGGAGCAACAACGGGGGCACCCGGGGGGGATAGAGCAGGTCCTGGAAGGAGCACAGAGTGGCACTCGGGAGGGGACAGCAGGTCCTGGAAGGGGCACAGAGTGGCACTCAAAGGGACAGCAGGTCCTGGAAGGGGCACAGAGTGGCACTCGGGAGGGACACTAGGTCCCGGAAGGGGCACAGAGCGGCACTCAAAGGGACAGCAGGTCCTGGAATGAGCACAGAGGGGCACTCAAAGGGACAGCAGGTCCTGGAAGGAGCACAGAGTGGCACTCGGGAGGGGACAGCAGGTCCTGGAAGGGGCACACAGGGCACTCGGGAGGGACAGCAGGTCCTGGAAGGGGCACAGAGTGGCACTCAAAGGGACAGCAGGTCCTGGAAGGAGCACACAGGGCACTCAAAAGGTCACAAAGTCCTGGAAGGAGCACAGAGTGGCACTCGGGAGGGACACTAGGTCCCGGAAGGGGCACAGAGTGGCACTCAAAGGGACAGCAGGTCCTGGAAGGAGCACACAGGTCCTGGAAGGCACACCGGGGATGTGGGGGACACTCCAGCGGGTGCCTGTCCCCCAGAGCCCCCGAAGGGCCCAGCCCCGCCCCGAGCTCACCTGTGAGCGCCTCCCGCAGCGCCCCGCTGAACACCTGCAGCTGCTGCTCGCTGACGCAGCCCCGCGTCCGCAGCAGGCCGGACACGAAGCCCACGGCGGCGGCGATCTCGGGCACCATGTCGGGGCGCGGCCCGCGGCGCTGGCTGTGCCTGAGGCGCTGGCTCATCCCGCCGGGCTCGCCCGCGACCTCTCGGCGGCTCCGCTCCGTCTGCGGCGGCGGCTGCGCGCGGCGCTTATATGGAGCGGCTCGGGAGTGACGTCACGGCGCGGCCGCGGCGTTCCATTGGCCGCGCGGCATGCAAATGAGGGAATGCAAATGGGCGGTATGGTAATAGAGGCTGAGCTCAGCGCGGTGACGTCACAGGACAGGGACAGAGGGGACAGGGACACAGGGACAGGAGGACAGGATAGGGACAGAGGGACAGAAGGACAGGAAGAGGACAGGGAGAGGGGGACAGGGACAGGACAGGGGGACAGGCACACAGGGACCAGGGGGACAGAGGGACAGGGACAGAGGGACAGGGATAGGGACAGGACAGGGGGACAGGGACAAAGGGACACAGGGACTGTCCCAGCAGTGTCCCATCCCCACATGTCCCTGCTGGAGACATCCCTGGATCCCTGTCCCTGCTGGACACATCCCTGGATCCCTGTCCCTGCTGGACACATCCCTGGATCCCTGTCCCTGCTGGAGACATCCCTGGATCCCTGTCCCTGCTGGACACTTCCATGGATCCCTGTGCTGGGACACATCCATGGATCCCTGTCCCTGCTGGACACTTCCATGGATCCCTGTCCCTGCTGGACACTTCCATGGATCCCTGTGCTGGGACACATCCATGGATCCCTGTCCCTGGGGCAAGGCCAACCCCTCCCAGAGATCCCTGAAGGAGGGAGAACCTTGTGAACCTTGTGAACCTTCTGAAATTCCTGAACCTTCTGACGGAGGGAGGTTCCAGGTGTCCCTTGCAGGAGATGAGGGGTGACAGTGCCACCCCCACCCTGCCCCAGGAGGTTGGAGGGGAGGGCTGAGCCCTTGCAGCCCTAACCAGGCTGAGGAAGAGGAGGAGGGGAGGGCTGAGCCCTTCCATTCCGGGCTGAGGAAGAGCAGGATGCAGCAGGAGATGAGGGCTGAGCCCTTCCAGCTCCATTCCAGGCTGAAGAAGAGGAAGAGGAGGGAGGTGGCTGAGCCCTTCCAGCCCTAACCAGGCTGAGGAAGAGCAGGATGCTGGCTGAGACATTCTGAGCCCTTCCAGCCGCATTCCAGGCTGAGGAAGAGGAAGATGCAGGAGGGGAGGGCTGAGCCCTTCAGCCCCTCTCCAAGACAGGGGAAGAGCAGCTGCAGGAGGATGAGGTGGCTGAGCCCTTCCAGCTCAAACTGAGGCTGGAGGAAGAGGAAGATGCAGGAGGGGAGGGCTGAGCCCTTCCAGCTCCACTCCGGGCTGGAGGAAGAGCAGGATGCTGCAGCAGGAGGTGGCTGAGCCCTTCCAGCCCGGGCTGAGGAAGAGGAGGAGGAGATGAGGGCTGAGCTCCTCCCAGGAGCTGGGAACGGGAATTGGGAACAGGAGCTGGGAACAGGACGGGAATGGGGGAAGGAAAATGGCTTTGGAAGCTGTGGGGAAGGGGAATCCAGAGCAGGGCTCTGCGCTGACCCCATTTCGTGCCCAGGGTGGGCTCAGCTTTGCTGAGGGGTCCCCAAATCCCCCCCTCCCCATCTGCCACCCCATTCATCCCCAGAGCAGAAGAAATCAGGCAAATCTCTTGCCACAAACCAGATTTGCCTTTGTAAGCTTTGAAATAAACCCAAGGATTAAAGTCGAAGGACTTTTTTTTCCTTTTTTTTTTTTTTAAGACAGCACCACAGATTACTGAGGCCTGGGAGAGCCCAGCACAGAGCAGGGGGAGGGGGTTGGATATTCCAGAGCCCCTGGAAGAGGCTGGATAAACATCCAGAGCTCTGAACACAGCTGGGCAGCCACGCTGGAAAAATGGGAATCCAGCAAAACCCTCCCGGTGGGAAACATCCCCCGTGCAAAAACAGCCAGAAAAACCAAACTAAAAATTCATTTCATTTCACTGAGCTGAGCGTGGCCATCCCAGCTGGCAGCAGGGCTGGTTCCCCTCAGCCTCAGGAATATTGGGGTGGAATCCTCCAGCCCTGAGTCACCGGGCTGGAGCAGAGCTCTGCTGCAGCCTAGCCCAGAATAGCTCTAATAACCGGGGCTATTAATTAGCCATTAGGGGCTAACTGCGCTCATTAGGCACTGATGATGATGAGGATGAGCCAGCCCCACCGGGCAGGTTCCTCTGGTCCCCCCAGGATGGGGGAAGTGGTGGCACCATTCCCCAAATTCCCATTTATTCCTGGTCACCTCCGTGGTGCTCCCAAATCCCTTGGCCCCGCTAAGCCCTTCCGAGAGGCGATTTCCTGCGGGCTCGAGGCTCTCTAAGCGGGTTATGTGTCCCTAATTTCTGGCCCTGGGGTTTTAAGGCAGAGCTTGAGGCTCAGTGCAGCCTCTCCAAGGGCTCAGAGGAGTCCCAGAGCAAAGGAACCACCAGAAAATCAAACTGGGTGTAAAAAGAGAGCTGAGTTTGAGGCTGCTCTGGCTGGGTTGGTTTTCCACCCTGTATTTAGCTGAGAGCATCTTTATTTCAATTTGAAAAAAAGAAATAAAAACAACAAGCCCAACTCAATGAATTTCTGCTCAGGGATTGGCCAGGCTGGGGCTGGAACTGGTCTGACAGGAACCAGGAGTTCAGATCAGCTCCCAAACCCTCCTGGGTATCCAAATGAGCCTCCAAACCAGTCGAGCCGGAAATTTTACACTAAAATAAAAATAAATACATATTTAAATAAATAAATATTAAAAAAAAAATTAAAAGGGACCACATTTGGCATTCAACCAAGGGTTAAACCCCGAGCTGCTCACAGGGACTGAGGGTTGCAAGTCAGCAGCTCGGGGTGTTTTTGTTCACCTAGCAGGCAGCAGTTCCCACGCCACACTTGGACTCATTGTGGGTTTTTTTGTTTGTTTTTTTTAGGGTGATGACCCCCTGAAGTCTGCAGTTTATAGGGCACGAGGCACAAAACCCCAGCTCAAGCTGTCCTGGAACCCCAGCAGAGCCAGCTGCCCACGCAGGGGGACCCTGCACCCCCTGTGCCCCGCAGGAAAACAGCCCCAGAATTAAGAATTACCCCTCAAATCCTGCTCATCGGCCGTGCCCCGCGTGCTGGCACCTCCCCTGGCCACCCCTGCAGCCACCCCGAGCTTGGGGAAGGATTTGAAGGTTGTCCTGGTCCATCTGAGCAGCCAAGAGCTGCTTTTCTTTACGTTTAGGGGGGGAAAAAATCGCTGGGAAGGGTCCAGAACTGTAAAAAAATGGATGTATTGGCCTGGTTTAAATCTCATTAAGTGGCTGAGGAGGAGGAGGGACAGACACCTGCCTGGGGACACCAGTTAAGCACAATCAGTGGGAATTTAAGGGGAAAAAGCCCAGGGGTGGGCCGGGTTTAAGATGTTTAATCCCGGCTGTAATTGGTAACCCAGGTGTGACCCCAGGAACGGGCCGGGCAGGCAGGGCAAACAAGGCAGGGCTTAAAGCCCAGCCTAGACTTGGACTTAGGCCTTGCAAGATGGGCTTGAGCAAGGAGGGGACCGTGAGAAATGGGACAGGGACAGCAGAGCAGCCCTGGGGCTGCACGTGTCCTGCAGCATCCCAGCACTCCAGGGAATTCCTGGGGTTTATCCCCCCCACTCTGCTCCTCCACCCTCATTTTGGGGGCTTCTGTCACTCCCATCCTTTTTTTGTCACCCTGGGGACTCTGGATCCCAGCACTCCAGGGAATTCCTGGGGTTTATCCCCCCCAGCTCTGCTCCTCCACCCTCATTTTGGGGGCTCTGTCACTCCCATCTTTTGTTTAAATCCCCTTGGGGACTCTGGATCCAGCACTCCAGGGAATTCCTGCAGTTTATCCCCCCCAGCTCTGCTCCTCCACCCTCATTTTGGGGGCTCTGTCACTCCCATCTTTTGTTTAAATCCCCTGGGGGACTCTGGATCCCAACACTCCAGGGAATTCCTGGAGTTTATCCTCCCAGTTCTGCTCCTCCACCCCCATTTTGGGGGCTCTGTCATCCCCATCCTTTTTTTGTCACCTTTAAATCCCCTCGGGGACTTGGGGCTGTGTGGACAGGACATGCCAGGACACACCTGGGACATGCCAGGACACACCTGGGGCATGTCCAGGCACCTTCCCTCACCTATAAAGGAGATTTAAATATTCCCCGTGGCTGGATTTGTGTGGCTGGGGGCTGGATTTCCACACAGGACATTTTGGACTCCCAAAATTTGGATTTTTGGTCCCGCCCTGTGCTCCACTTCCCTTCCTCCATCTCCCTGCTGACACCATTTTGGCTTTTTTGGCTTTTTGGGAGAGGATTTTTTTGTGGTTACACCAGAATTATTGCAAATAAACCCCGCAGCCTTTTTGGGCACGGAGAACTCGGTGAGAGCTCGACGTTTTGGGAGAGGAAACCTCGGCCGGGGTGGGGATGAGCTCAGAGAGGGTTTCCTGTTCTTGAGCTCGCTTCATTGTTCTCGTTCCACATCCTCCCTGCCCTGTGCCAGCAGCCAGCCTGTCCTGGGGACGCAGGGGACACGGGGGACACTGCCAGACACAGGGGACACTGCCAGCAGCCAGCCTGTCCTTGTCACACAGGGCTGTCACCAAAGGGGTATCAGGGACAGCCAGAGGTGATACAGAGATTTTACCTTCAGAAGGCAAGAAAAAGAATATTAGAAATATATTAGATTATAATATATTCAATATTTTTTTATAATATAATAATATATTATATAATCTTAGAAATAATGTTCTTATAGAAACAACGGGGGACTGAAGATCTGCTTGGCCTTTGGGAATAATTCTCTCACCTATTGGTCAAGAAGGGATAATTCCTTCTTGTAAACTTCTTTGACTTCTTTGCCTGCCAGGTGCAGAGATTGAGGAAATAATTGCTTTAATTCTTCCTCTGAGCTTTCCCAGAGCTCCCCAGGAAAATCCTGAGTCTCTGTCTGTGATTCCCACAGAGGGGACACTGCCAGCACCCAGCCTGTCCTTGTCACACAGGGCTGTCACCAAAGGGGTATCGGGGACAGCCAGAGACTTTATCTTCAGAAAGCAAGAAAAAACACTTTATTATTAGAAATCCACAGTTCTTATGG